ACAACAACAACAACAACAAATGTTTATTTCGCTTCAAGGTCATAGCTATGACATATTGAAGGTACAAATGAAGATTTATGGTGACACAAGGCATATGTACGTATGATTACATGGCTGTGTGTGTGTGTGCATGGTATGTATGGCTGTATGTATGATTAAATGTGTGTAAATTATGTATGTGTATTTATGTGTGTGCGTGCGTGTGTGTAAATGTATGTAAGCCTTCGGTCGTTTGAAGCCAGAAGGCAGAGGTATTCCCGGGAAAGAAGCCTACTCTCGCAGAGCTCACTAGAGCTGAAACTTCTCTCGCAGAATTTTTTTGAAGAAGGCGAATGGAGCAGAGTACGCTTAGGGATTATCGGCTGTTGCGTGAAAACAATGCTTTTCCTGAAGCCTTAGAGTGCCCTGAACATGGAATCATATGTATATAAACTATACTTATGATATGTAAAACATGCACCGTAATACCTAATTTGATATCTGCTTATGTGGCCAAGAGTCTTTTTGAAATTTCATTTGTTTGACCCAAATGTAATTCCAGATATTCTATATTGCAAAACAAAAGCTATTCTAAGTGAAAAGTAATCTATAATGTAAATGGTAATTCTATGGATTGTACCATGGATAGTTTGAATTCTCCAATGTCCAATTATCATGTTTATTCAAATGATTTTTTTTCAAGATAAAGTTATATATCACTAAATTATTGCCTGTATTTGTTTTTGTGATTACCTTGTATTTATTTTTCCATATAATAGAAAATTATGGAAAGTTTGAGCGATCTGCGTTGAGTGAATTTCCATATGTGTGTTCTACTAAATAAAAGTTTAATAGCCACTATACTTGTCATTATATTTATATGAAAATAACATAATCGTAACCGTAATAACTTCAGCTTTATTTTGATAGATTACACATGGAAATTGGACAATTTTAAAGACATTTATTGACCTTTTTGATGCAGTACAAAATGACGCTGACGTGGAATGCAAAATCGCGATTTTTAGGGTACCTCCACAAATATGATGAAAACAAGTGCATGCCTTATATTTTCAATGTTAACTCATGATTCCATGTGCACTCTGAGGCTTCAGGAAAAGTATATTTTGTTGGGGGGGGGGGGGGGGGGGGGGTGCACGGTGGACCTAAGTAGCCCATGGCCTAATATTATTTATTATTTAACCCGACCTACCCCGTCGATGTAATACAGGACTGTGATGTTGATGTAAAACCTAAAACTTGATGATGATGATAATATATGAATGTTAATGCAACAAGCGACGCGTGTGAAGATATATTAAATACGTTTGACACATTAACCTATTTCTACACCTTTTTAACGGTTAAATTAGATACACTTAAACGTAAGTAGCATATAACAGTTGAAATTAAAAGGTCTACAAGAAGATGTTTTTCTTATAATAGAAGGTCCATAAGGGTATTTAGTATTTCGTTATGAAAAAATAGTTCTCTTGATATTCAATACTGGACATTTCCCATCACCCCACTTTTTGTTTGTTTATGGTAAAAGTTAATAAGAGGAGGTTTGGTGGGGGACTAGAGGTATCCTTTTAGAGGGTGTTATTCTGGCATTACCCACTATTTACTGGAGGATATTGGAAATGAATATACTGTAGACTGTCATGTTGTCTGACTACAGATAGGATTTGTTATCTTAACAATCACTGGGGGTTTCACATTAGAGGTGATTTGTACAATTGCCCAAATGATCCTGCTGAGTATTGGTGCTTAGTGATGTCAAATGGAATATTTTATTATCAGAGGAAATTGGTAGTGAAAACTTAATACCATCTATACAGTATATCTTCAGGATTTTTAGCCCTTTCTTTCTCTGTGTGTAATTCTGATGGAAAGAAGTCACTCAACCAGTTCATGCATTCCATGGTAAAAAAATTCAGACTTGGTTAGAATCCGTGTTTATCTCCGACAACTTCCCACTGGTGACATTGTAGTGAACTTGAGAAGTAGAGATGATTTTTTATATTCATATTATTATAATCTGTCAAACTATACATAAATGTGTGTGTGTTAAATCATATATTCAAAGGGACTGTTCACTACACTCATCAATATCATAATGAATGAACATTAGTGTATTGTGTGGATTATATAAAGCTCTCAGTAAGTATATGTTTTACATGCATGACAGATGGGATTAAGGGAGAAAGGAAATATTTTCCTGAACGTTTCCAATAACTAGTGGAGGAAATTGGAAATGGCTGAACCTGTAGATAGCGTCAAATCCGTGATGGATTTGACAGATCTCACAGGGTAACATTCAACAGGCTCTTTACCTTGTGATCATGTTAACATTTTTTCTTAACAGTTTAGCAAAAGAGACGATATTTGAAGTGAACTACATTGAAAAATGAGAGAAGAAATTAATTGTCAATGTTTTTTATCATACAAACTCTCTGGTCAGTAAACAACAGTTGTTATTTTAGTACTTTGAAGAGGAATCCCAAACCTTCTCTTACTCTGTTATGATATATAATGTCAAAGTGAAAGCAAAAAAACCATTAACGTGCAACACAGCATTTTCCATGGACTTGTTTATTTGCTATTTTGATATACATCTGTTCAGATTGATTGTAAAATATACAATATCAACTATAAATTTCTTCCGTGTGTGAATGCGTGTAATACTTGCATATTGGCTCCCCAGTTCTCATAATGCTTCATATGAAAGCAAAATTGTGTGTTTGATTAACATCATCTCTTATGTCAGTGACTGATTTAAACCACAGCCCTCGCGATCTAACGTTATAACATTTCAGGTCGTAGACATCCTCTGATACACAGCAGATGCGTTCTGGTCATATTACCTTTCGGCTCCATAGTCTGTACTGTCTTAAAATTGTCTTTATTAGTCTTCGGATGTTACGTCTAGTACACACAAACAAGACCGTTTAGCCTATATAAGGAATGTAGCAGGCAGTGGATCTTCCAGTTGGCTAACTTACTGTTGGTAATATCCGTTTTCTTTTAGCAAATAAGAGGATAGTTAGTAACAAAATATACGATATACAACGCATATTTGCACAACTATCACCAAACCATTCGACACTGACACCGCATCAAACCCCGCGGTAGACTGGACACAGTTATGTGCTCACCGATTAGATAAACACCTACCGACAGGGTGGGGATTGTGGTTCAAAGCGAAACAGACAACCCTGTCTGTTGCCTAATAAATGCTGGGCGCCGCCTTTGATCTTGCCTCTAACCATGCATGAAGTAGGAGTAAACGATGACCAGGATGGCCTTGAAATAAACAAGATTCTTTCTTGTTGAATATCAAGGTACCAATTCATCGGTCACGTGGTTTTCTTATGTATCCAGTGTATCCACAATTAACTAGAATGTTTCATATCCACCAAAATGTATATGCGTCAGTGTGCTTTATCAACACATGTATAATGCTTATTCACGCTTGGTGTGCCAGACTGAAATTGAACATTATGATAGCGACAGCAGGGATAATAGAGATCATAAGACGTGGCATAAGAAGATCATACATAAATATGTTTAAGTTACATAGGCAGCAGGCTAGATTATTTACAGCAATACAGTTCAAATATTGTGTTCAATAAAAGAAAACGTTGATTATTAACACACTTATTTTGTACTATTAAACAAACTGTGGACTTTGGAGACATTTTCGCTTATTGTAATGAGATCAAGGTAAAAAATCATATCTTTCTCTGAAATCCACGGGCATAGTTTCTGTCAAACATAAGAACGTAATCAGGGCGGCCAGCTTTGACTTGTCGTGTGCCTTAAAGTGAGTTTAAACATGTCAAAAGCGACTGACCCTACAATATAGGGTCATTTACTCAAACGTTCAAACTTAACAGGACCATATCGTTTGTTATATATCGACTGCCTGTCTCTATGTCTTAAATTGTTAATCGGTAACTGCGGTCCAGATTTATTTAATTTATTCATCTATTGTTGCAAACTTGACTGATTTGTTTACACAATAAAAAATCTAATTGATCATGCACTACTGAGGCAGTCAAGCACCTGTCTAAAAGCAGCCATGTTACATGTAGTCCCAAAAGCTGGCAATTATTTCGCCACAATATAACTGAAAAAATGCTGATGTGACGTGACATATAAACTTACCCACAGACAATACATTTTTTCCAGAGAGTGTAGCCCAATTTTATCAAAGTTTTATTGACAATTTGAAAAAGTATAATAATATAACAGTGCGAAAATCATTATGTTTTTCTTCAAGTTTTATCAAAATCAAATATATCCTACTACTTTAAGTTTCACATTCCCAAGCCAGTAAAAGCTACATAGTTTACAGGACGTCTATCATAATACGTAACGCTTGGAGATGCAAGCTGTCGAAACCAGTCAAACAAGCTGGCAGATGCTAATCAGCTAGCGCTATTGAAATTCTAGACCCGGCTGACCAGATTCAGACACAGCTGACCAGCCAATAAACAATTAACTAAGCAAGTCAGCACATCAAAACTTGCATAATTTGACCAACATGTGAGAAGCCATTGTTATCAATTCCATGTATTGAAATTCTAGAGCCGACTGACCAGTTTCAAACACAGCCGACCAGCCTATAAACAATAAACTAAGCAAGTCAGCACATCAAAACTTGCAACATTTGACCACCATGTGGGAAACCATTGTTATCAATTCCAAACTGGACAGATGGGTAGTGATATGCTTTCAAACGTGGACTGGAGGTCTCGGGTATAAATACAGGGGTATCTTGGTATAGGGTCATTCCTGCATTTCGCCTGAGAACCTCTCTGTCTGTTTTTGAAGGCGTGGAGATCCCGGAGTTAATTCCCCGTAACAATTCTTGGCATAAACGGTCCCTTAAAAAGGACAGTTTCAATTGGTGGAGCTTATCCTAGATGACTGGTGCCACGCCTACCAACTAAAAACAGAAGCTTCGACAGCCTGAGCCAAGGTTGAACTTAACCAGTTTGACCAAGACGCAGGAATCACCCCTTTTCCAGCCTCCCCCTCCCTAACCATCCCCGCAACAACGTCATCAACGGAATCAACATCAAAGCATCAACGTCCAGGACAACATCCTTACCAGCGCCATCTCCATCCTCCTCATCTGCATCAAGAGCCTCTTCATCAGCAGCTGAACCTCCATCTCATACAATGGACACACCACATGTCAGGCTGAGGCCATACACGGGACAAGAGAAATCATCAAGAAATCAACAAAGAGTGCACTGTCCTCAAAAGCTAAAGATCCCAAATTCTCAATAAGTGATCTAGTCCTAATGCAAAATTCCCATGTTCTTCCTGGTAGGTCCCCGAAACTGTCAGTTAAATGGGTAGGTCCCAACACCATACTTGAGCTTGGTCCTAATCATACCTTCAAGCTACAACATGTTCAAACGAACAAGACGCACAAGGCACTTATCCATGCCAATCGCCTCAAGCCCCACAATGTTCGCGCTCCCAACGACCGCCTTCCTGATCACACTCCCAACCATGGTCGTCATTCTCCCCGTCCCAGCGCTTCTGCTGAAATGGACACACATGCTCCTCGTCCCAGCACTTCTGCTGAAGCACATTCTCCTCTTCCCAGCACTTCTGCTGAAGCACATTCTCCTCTAACCAGCACGTCTGCTGAAGCACATTCTCCTCTAACCAGCACTTCTGCTGAAGCACATTCTCCTCTTCCCAGCAATTCTGCTGAAGCACATTCTCCTCTTCCCAGCACTTCTGCTGAAGCACATTCTCCTCTTCCCAGCACGTCTGCTGATGCTGACACATCCTCAGACCCACAGGTGGTTCTTCCAGAGCCACACATCAGTGATACAGGCTCTGCACCACCCATTGCCCGCCAACAGGATGACAAATCTCAAGATAATCAAACGTATCCTGTTGACAAAATTATCAGATGTTAAATGGCAAACGGTACCAAACAGTACCAAATCAAGTGGTTAGGCTACTCAGAAACGACCTGGGAGCCCACCTCCAATCTTGATCCATCCCTGATCAAGCACTTCCATAGGTCTAGAACAATGTCTGATAAGAAGCGCAAACACGGACATAAGTACTTCCAATGATTCATTTGCATAGGTGTTATCAAGCTACCCCCTATCTTTTGTGACGTGAATTGCATGGCCATAAGATATGAGAGACCATCCCTTTGCAGTTAACAAGTGTTCTGTGTCTTATAGTGCTAGGTTGTTTAGGTGTTTGTGGCCACAACATTCTTCTCAACCAGGTCAACTCTTCTAATGGCTCCCTTTTCATTTCATCAAAGGTTAACCCTGGAGCTCGATTATCCTGTGGCTTATGGCTCTGTTTGCCCGCTCTTCCCTCGGCACCAGCCCTGTTCAGAGACACAACTATGGAATAGTTTTTAAGCCAACCACACAAGTCCATTTTGCAACTGAATACTTGGTCCATACCAACGAGGTCAAGCTTCCCCATGTCCCAAGCATTCCCACCATGAGTGGATGCCACCAAGGCAATGGAACTTGTGCTATACTGCACCAAATCCAAATGCACCTTAACGTCATCAAAACCAGGTGTGTTCACTGCTAAATGAAACTAGGCACCAAATCATTAAACTCATCCCTGTATCTAAGGTCCCCTCATCAAGTCGCTCCAAACGAGCAGCTCTAAGTTTTGTAGGGTCCCTTTCCAAAACATTGTTTGGTACAGCCACCATTGACGACGCCAACCTGCTTGCCAAACACATTAACGCCCTTACAAAACATGACATAAACCTATCCAATGTCCTTAAACACCATTCTTCCCATCTCTCTTCCTTTATGAAATTGGTAGACAATAGATTTAAGAATGCACTAAAAGGTGTTAAGGCCAATCATGATGCCCTTACGTTCACAGCCACTGCGATCCAGAATAATGCTAGAAATATTCAAGCTACTTTAGCTTCCCTAACTTCAATTTTGATAGACCAAATTCAAAATTCAAATACTGCCTCAATTTTATCTAACAAGTATCCAAACTTTCGATTACTCCAAACCAACCCAACAGATTACTATTCTCAAGCAAAATTCATCTTTGCCCGTACGAAGGCCCATGTCTATGTACCTGTTCAATTTCCCTTATCATCTTTGCCTAAACCTTTCCAAATGTATAAGGTTATTTCTCTCCCAGTGCCTGTGAACAATACATCATCCCACTCGACTCAACTCCTTGATATTCCTCCTTACTTTGCCCTGTCCTTGGATTCCCGTCATTCCCTCAGTATGGACAGTTCTACCTTAGCGCCCTGCTCTGGTGATGAATTCGCCATACACTGTCCTATCAGAATAGTTCTACAATCCTCCCCCAAACCATCATGTAGCCTTGCACTCTTTCAAAATAGTAAGAGTCTGATCAAATCTCTTTGTGATTTTCGATATATCACCAAACCTCAGCCACCTCAGCTTATCTCAGTTGATACCTCAAATGTTCTTGTATATAGAATTCCCTTCCTTACTCTCACCTGTCCTGGTACTCATCGTATGATTCCCGGGTGTAACTACTGTCTTATTGCTACTCCATGTTACTGTTCTTTGTCCACGGAAGATCTGTATTATCCTGCACCTTTCGGTTCTTGTCGCACTTTACAACACCAGATCTCACACCTTCACCCTGTCAACCTTGCTCTTCTTCAACACTTCTTCGAGGATTCTACCCTCTCTAGTATTGCTGGTGATACAACTTTCAGAAAAGCAGTTAACTTCACCATTCCAAAATTTGATATATTTTCTCATGAAACTTCCAATGTTTTGGCCAATGATCAAAAGTCCCATCTCAGTCTTAAACGTGTCGCTGAAAGGGCAAGAAAAGATCAAACCATATTTCAGTCTATTACGGAACCATTGCTTGATGGTCAAATCACTTTACCAAGTTCTTGGCCTGATACAAATGCAATTATAGCCATCACCGCTTCGGCTATGTCAGTTCTCTCAATTATTTTGGTTTTTTGGATGTTTTTCAAAGTTCGTGCAATCTCTGCTGCGCCATTGCTGGTTACTCGTGTCACGCCAGTTAAAGCAGTACAGCCTCCAGTACTAAATTATAATTCACAAACCACTTCTAGTCCCAGCTTCATTGTGTCTGATCTTGCTGACTATCATGTGTCAATCCTTCTAGGAGTGATCACACTCGCTGTTGCTTCTATTCTTCTCCTTCTCATCTATGAACGCAATCTTAGGACTCACAATGGTCTCGTTCTTGAGCTCACCACTGGTCCAGAATGTGTCACTGTTCCTATTCTGGCTCTCAGTCTCTGTCCTTCCTACTGGAATGTTCAACCCCCATACACGGTGGAACAGCTCCGAATCTCTGGATATTTCTTTCCCACCCTTACTGTTGAATGGCCCGCCTTTACTGTGACTAACCTCCTAACCAAAACGTCTCTCTCGGTCCCGAACACGCTTTGAGTCTCTTTCGTTACTGCCCGTAAACTCCAGAAAATGTTCAATCATCCTTTCGCTGCCTACATTCTTATGGTTCATGATGGTAGATACCAAATTTTAGATCCTGCTTGTATGTTAAAAGTATTTTAAGTGGGCTGTCTAAGCAGTGCATATCCTTTGTCATGTTCGCATATTTTTGCTGTGTTACTTTAAAATGTTTTATGTATTTTTGTGTACAATTGTATTATGTTTACGTCAACACCTGTTTAACAAAAATATTAATAGGCTTTTGCGGTCAAAAGCTCCACGACGTCCAGGGGTACTATAACAGTGCGAAAATCATTATATTTTTCTTCAAGTTTTATCAAAATCAAATATATTCTACTACTTTAAGTTTCACATTCCCAAGCAAGTAAACGCTACATAGTTTACAGGACGTCTATCATCATACGTAACGCTTGGAAATGCAAGCTGTCGAAACCAGTCAAACGAGCTGGCAGATGCTAATCAGCTAGCGCTATTGAAATTCTAGACCCGGCTGACCAAATTCAGACACAGCTGACCAGCCAATAAACAATTAACTAAGCAAGTCAGCACATCAAAACTTGCATAATTTGACCAACATGTGAGAAGCCATTGTTATCAATTCCATGTATTGAAATTCTAGAGCCGACTGACCAGTTTCAAACACAGCCGACCAGCCTATAAACAATCAACTAAGCAAGTCAGCACATCAAAACATGCAAAATTTGACCACCATGTGGGAAACCATTGTTATCAATTCCAAACTGGACAGATGGGTAGTGCATTTCGCCTGAGAACCTCTCTGTCTGTTTTTGAAGGCGTGGAGATCCCGGAGTTAATTCCCCGTAACAATTCTAGGCATAAACGGTCCCTTAAAAAGGACGGTTTCAATAATATGAATATTAAAATTCATCATCACTTTTCAAATTTACAAAAACGTCTCCAGTTGGAAGATGTCACAGATAAACAAGGATTCTAACTGAGTTTGATCGTCACAGGTTTATCTCCAATTTGCCAGCACAATGCAGAGGATTAACAGTTACTGTGAGTGAGCATGGTTTTACGCCGCTTTTAGCAGTTACTGTGTCTATACAATTCCCACAGATATCATGCCAAAAACGCTCACAGTAGTTAGTGAGTAAACTCAACTGAGGATTTTACAAGTATCTATCACAACCTTTGAAACTAACATGTGAATAAACTCTGTTCACTGAAACTTAAATAATTAAGGCACTTGCAGTAACCAGTTAACAAGTAATCAGTGAGATATTATATAAATACTGGGAATGCCAAACAACTTCATTGTAAATAGACAAATGCACCTGTGAATGGTCAAGGTTTTAAATACCGAGTGAAATAAATACGAGGTGCCAGCCTACACTGGAAATGCTGTATGCTGCATGTCCAGCCTGCATCAACACCTCTAGTGATCTATTCGTGATTCCGAGCCTTGCGCATAACCATTGTCATGACCTGGTTGAGTGACTTCCTTCCATCAACGTGAAAGGATTACCCACAGCGAAAGAAAGGATTAAAATCCTAAAGATATCCTATCCAAATGGTATAAGTACTCACAACCAATTTCCTCTAATAGAAAACTATCACCTTTGGTATCCCCAACAACACTCACCATGGTCATTGGGCAAATGTAAAAATCACAAACCCTAACGAGATTCTGTCTATATGGTCACACCCGGTGTTTGTGAAGATCTAAAATTCTATCAACAGTTTGTTTGTTTGCTGTTTAACGCCGCACTCAGCAATATTCCAGCTATATGAAGGCGGTGTGTAAATAATCGAGTCTGGACCAGACAATCGAGTCTGGACCAGACAATCCAGTGATTGACATCATGTGCATCGATCCACGCAATTGGGATACGATGACATGCATCAACCAAGTCGGCGAGCCTGATCACCCGATCCCGTTAGTCGCCTCTTACGACAAGCATGGGTTGCAGAAGACCTATTCTACCCCGGATCTTCACGGGTCGGATCCTATTCAAGCACTATCCACACATTACATCCATTGTGACAATGGAATAGTTTCATCATACATCATTATCATGTTTTGTGCATGCAGGTCATTGGTTCAATGCATAGAATAACAGATAATCAAGTATTAGCTTGGACGTCGTTTTAAAAAGGTGCCCTCGCAACGTTGCATTAACAGTTGTTGCTCAAATTCTGATTTGAGTCCATGGGTGGCCCAGTCGTCTGCAGAGTTAGGTCCATTGAAAACAGATGATTGTGAGATCGAATCCCTGTTCGCCCCGATTACCTTTTTAGGTTTGCCAGCACCACACCCATGCTTGTGGGTTTCACCAAGGTGATAAACGTTTGAAACCTGCATTACTATGGGCTTTCAGC